TGTCTACCTTATGAGAACTAAGGATGAAGCCTTTGACATGTTTAAACTGTATAAGACTAAAGTTGAAAATCAACTACAAAAGAAAATTAAAATCCTTAAAAGTGATAGGGGTGATTAATACTTTAAAAATGAGTTTAATTCTTTATGTGAAGAATTTGGAATAATACATCAATGTTCTACTCCCTATACCCCTCAACAGAATAGTCTGGCTGAAAGGAAAAATAGAGCACATACAGAAATGATAAACTATATGTTGTTAAAAGCTAATGCACCCTTAAACCTGTGGGGGAAACACTCCTAACAACCTGCCATTTACATAACAGAATTGTTTCTAGAGTTAATAACAAATGTCCATATGAATTATGGACAGGAAGAAAACCTAATTTAAAATATCTAAAAGTATGGGGGTGCTTAGTATATTATAGAGTCTCAGATCCTAAAAGAAACAAGTTAGGACTCAGAGTTAAGAAAAATATGTTTGTTGGATATGTAGAACATAGCAAGGCCTATAGGCTTCTAGACTTAGAATCCAACATAATAATTGAAACTAGAGATGTTGAATTCTTTGAAAATAAACTGTGTTATGAGCCTACAGAAAATGACAGAGAAACTCAAATCTCAATACCTGTTGATAATAATAAAACTGAAAGAAGAAATGACACAACTGTAACACCTACAATAGGACCCAGAAGAAATCAAAGACAAAGAACAGAGAAACACTTAGGTTCAGATTTCATCTCTATTCAGTCAATTGTATTTTTGGTTGAGACTGATAGAGAGAAGAATTTAAATATAATACATATTGTTCTAAACATTGAAAATGATCCAAAAACCTATAGTGAGGCCATGACCTCTAGAGAAGCTGCCTTTTGGAAGAAAGTTATAAATGATGAAATTGATTCAATAATGTCAAATAACACATGGGTACTAGTAGATCTGCCTCCAGGATCAAAACCAATAAAATGTAAATGGGTGTTTAGAAGAAAATACAACACTGATGGAACTGTACAAACTTTTAAGGCTAGATTGGTAGCCAAAGGATTTAGTCAAAAGGAAGTGATTGATTACTTTGACACCTATGCACCAGTGGCTAGAACAACTTCTATTAGAACACTCATAGCATTAGCATT